GATTAAATCAGAGTAAAACCCATAATTCATTATTTTCAATATTTTTTACAAAAGATAATATTGAAGAAATAAACAGATTACCTCGTAAAGTCACATCATCAACATATGGGTGGCTTGATTCTTGAACAACTGGATGGGGAGTAGTGCATAAGTTTTGAGTACTATTTGTCGTATCTTCTAATTCTGTGACACACAGCTCCAGAAGCATGGCTCCAATATCAGAGTTTGTACTGCCCATAGCTTAAAATATAATGAAACATTCAGTTCTTAAGAAAGTTTTCATGCCATCATATTTACTTATCAAAACTGAAGAAAGAATATCTTTGGCTTGCACATCTTCAATTCTATCAGCAACAGACAGTTTCAAAAGATCCACCAGTAATCTAGCATCATTTTCGTTTAAGAGAGAGGTGAAATCATCTAGTCCAGTTAAACCACCGTCCCCAATAACCTCTGCGTGGGACGTTAATGTGGCAGCAATTACTGACATGGCACTAGTAGACATACGAGAATGTTTTGAGGATATACTAGCAGAGCAACTACTTGCAGTCATTGATTGTAATAAAATAATTGGATTTTCTTCCACTTCTGGAGTTGTCTGATTGGGACTCTGAAATAATTGAGTTGAACATCAAAAAATAAGTAATATTGATTAACGTCTATTGATATATACAAATATGAAACTTATTGAGTGTCTTGATATAGAAACAGAAGTTAATAATCGGACATAAGGTGCTTCACCTCCTCCCAACGCAATCTCTCCGTCCTTGTTATTAGACAATCCATTTATTAAAGGGCGTTCATAAGGAGTATCAGGAGAACCATCAGGCTGTAAGATAATGAGTGATTATCACAGAATTGTAAATATCGATAGTACTCACTAACCTTTGTGTTGTTATTAATGTTTGTATGACTACATAAAGACTTAACAACTGCTTGCCTCAACTGCTGAATATGCATGGCATTGAGTATATGTTGTAATGCCTGTTGTTTTGCTGTATTACTTTCCAATGACATAACTATACTACTAAGTGTTGGAGCATTTTTATTGTTCACATGTAACTGAGGTTTTTCTCCATCATACAAGCCTAGGATTGACGATCCCAGTGGATCTTTAGCCACTGGAAATATAACTGGTTCTACTTTGGATACTATTTGTGTATCTTGCAACATCCATGCTATGGAATGTGAACTACCACAGGCAACACGATTTATTTGCACATCTTCGAGTCCATGTACCAAAGCAGGTTTTCGGTTGACAATTGTTGTTCCATTACCTTGCTGACCATGATCGTTGTCACCCCAAGCATAAACCTGTCCATTGTCAGTTACTGCCAAACAATGTAAAGCACCCACAGCTACGTGAATCACTTTTTTACCTCTCAAAGTATCAATAACTGTTGGTTTCCTGACATGCTGATCGGTACCATGACCAAGTCTGCAATAGATGATAAAAATAAAAAAACTGATCAAGTGGAAAGAAAAGAAGTACAAAAAATTCAACCTGAAATAATCTCCTTTTCCCCAGGTCCAAATATCTCCAGCCTTCGTTAACGCCAATGAAAACTGCGCACCACACTCGATTTGGATAACTCCAAGTGAATTGAGCCTCTCTATGTTATGAGGAACATTACAACCTTCAGATCCACCCCTTCCCAATTTTCCAAAATCTCCATCTCCCCAGGAAAAAACTAACCCTTCATCTGAAAGTGCTAAAGTTTGCGCATCTCGACTGCCACAGGCTACTTGAATTACCCTATGGCCAACAAGTGCTTTCACCTAAAAAAAATTAAAATGACATATTTTTTATAACTGACAGTTTCATGGATGCGAAAAGAAACATACCAACTTTGGTTTGAGTTGCGTGACATTATCTCCGTGTCCCAATCGTCCATATTCACCCAAACCCCAAGTGAATAATTCTCCGCTACTTGTTATTGCAGCAGAATGAGAACTCCCGCAGGCTATATCTCTAATTTTTTTGCTTCGCAAAATCTCAATCATACGAGGTTTGTCTAAATTGAGTCTATTTCCGTGACCTAATTTACCGTCTTCACCTTCTCCCCAAGAAAATACCTTAAATACCATAAGTTACAAAACAATTTTATTCCGAAACAATAAGGCTCACTTTTCCATCTAAAGTAAGGGCCATAGCGTGTTTTCCTCCGGAATGAACAGCAACCTTTTTGATGACATACTGACTCAAAAATGGTATTGGTCTTGGACTCGGAATATTATTATTATGTCCTAGTCCTAGACGACCATTAGTTCCCTCACCACAAGCATAAAGCTGTAAAATGAATTAAATATAAACAAATTTATTTTCAAAAATATTACAAACAAACCTTTCCTTCTTGAGACACTATAAATAAAGATTTTGAACCTCCAGCAATGTGTATAGGCCTCAACATGCTAAGGAAATCTGAAAGAACTGGTAGTTTTACTTTAGAGCCTTTCATTCCCCCAAGTTGATCTTTGTCATTCAAACCCCAAACATACACCTTGCATCCGTTTGAGTTAGAAATGGCGAAATCGCTATTTGAGTCTTGACCTGAAATGTAAAATAATATTAAATCAAATTACATAACCACTTTCAAAAATGGATAATTAATTAAAAATTTATTGAATCGATTGGTGTGAGTTCTTTATTGCAATTATTAGTTGCGTCGATATTGAATACTTTGATTTTGAATATTGAAACTATTTGTGAGGTTACACAAAATAGCAGATTATACATTCTGAAAATGAGAGATAAAATGTTCTACTGCGAACTCACAGTCGTAATGTTTCTTAATTAGACAACTAAAGAACATGGTTTCGATCAGTGTCTTAAAATTGGCATATTTTGGGCTGGTTCAGTCAATATTATCTTATGGCATAATATTCTGGGGATCATCGGCACACTTAAATAATGCTTTCATTCTTCAAAAAAGGGTGATACGTTGCATGAAAGGAATACATCCCAGAGAATCGTGTAGGCCTTATTTTATTGAATTAGGCATCATGACACTACCATCTCTTTATATATATTTGTTAGTATTAGATATGGCAAATAAAAAATTGTTAAGAAATAATGAAATACATGGTTATAACACTAGGAATAGCAATCATCTTCATCAATCGTTCTCTAGACTGACAGTGGGTCAAAATTCTAATCATTATCAACAGATAAGATTCTATAATAAAGTTATAGACATTTTTGGTCATATAAGAAAGTTCAAAAAAATAAAATCTTTATTATCAGACTATTTGTTAAATATGGCATTTTACTCCACAGAAGAATTCTTAAATATGTAGAATTTATATGTTTAGTATGTATAATATTTGTATAGATGTATGTACTGGGCCTATGTTTAATTATTTAAAGTGTGTATACACATATATTATGTTCATAATTTTAATCTAATCCTATTTTCTGACAAGTCCAACAGNAAAATTTCCTGCATATGCAATTGGCAATACAACTAAAAGAGTCGACCTTCAATTTTGAAACGGGCACACTTGCAGACCGATTTCGGGCTCCTTAGACACTCGTCAGTGCAAGATAGTGATCATCATCGACCTAAAGTCAATGATATTACATAATTGAAAATCAAAATTCTTTCAGAGTATTTCATTCCTCGTCTTAAGTTGGAGCGAGGCGGGTTGGCTGTCCTTGTTTATCTTTTACTGCCGGAACCACTGTGCATGCTATTTTTGGCGCGTGCATTGGCTCGGGATGTGGGGGTTGAGAAAACCGGCCATCGGATGCCTGCTTCCACCCTTCCCTGCTGGATACGGGAATGACAGAATCACTTCTGGTTCTGTTATTCCCTAACTGAATGGCATCCCAATGATGGCTTAATTCTAAGGTGTGTATATCCGTGCCGAGAGGATGAATGACACTGAGCCTATCAGCTGTCTTTACGGAACCTGCGAGATGCTGGGAGCCCTCTCGTCGTAGCATCGCCTTGTCACTGTAATGCGGGGCTCTGTCGTGATTGACCTTCTTTCCCTAGCTACTCGTGGGACTCCAACTCACTGTAAATTTAGTTCAGGAGTGAGAGCTTCTCAAATCCCCAACTCCTGATCCAACAACTGAACCATAAAAAAAGGGTTTGGAGGTGCGGACAGGAAACGACTGAGTCATCTCCTTAAGAGCACGGTACCTTAAACCGCCTTGCCCAAATTCTTGAGCGGTGTACGCAGAATCTGTCTCACGTGGGGAAACAAACCCCCCATGAGCAGGTTAGCAAACGTTTGCGCTCAAGTGACGATTCACCAAAACCAGAGGCGAAAAAGCCCTGCACGGCTGAATCTAAGGCATCGTCAGGTGTAGCTGACGTGCAAAAAACCTCATATGGCTAGGTTGTCGTGGGTATCAAGGTGGAAATCTTGCAACTTCACTATCCGACTACCTCATTAACAGAGCATATACTTTGTGCCTGCCCCACTGGGGACCGAATCAGGTCTTTAGAGTACGGCAGAGCCTTCTTACCATCTACCGTCTTACCATCTGACCTGAAAGACCACTCACCATACAAACTATCCGGCATCGTTAAGAAGCTGGGTTTATTTGGCTGAGTGTGAATAGGTGTGAGCCACAATAAACCCTTGCGGGTTGCGGTGGAGGTTCGAATAGACCCACTCACTTTGGACCTAACCTAAGTTGGAGCGAACAAAAAAATGTCACACCATCTAGTGGACGGGGTACTAACCAACTGCATACTCGAAATTTGCCCGATTCCTCTGAATATGGAAGAAAAACCTCATTTCTTTAGATTTGTTTACTGCCAGTCTTCAAGCATAGCCCACTGACTAATAAGAAAGTTTTTCTTCCTTATTCAGAGGAATTGGGCAAATTTCGGATATGCAGTTGGTTAGTACCTCGTCCACTAGATACTAGATGGAGTGACATTTTTGTTGTTCGCTCCAACTTAAGACGATGAATGAAATACTCTGAAAGAATTTCGATTTCCAATTATGGAATATCATTGACTTTAGGTCGATGATGGTCACTATCTTGCACTGACGAGTAGCTACGGAGCCCGAAACCGGTCTGCAAGTGTGCCCGTTCCGAAATTCTAGTCGCTAGTAGTTCGGTAGGGACAAACAATGCCTAATTCTCATATAAACATACGGTAAAGTACAATTAAAAAAGAATGTTTTTAACAGAAGAAAATGTTTCTGGAGCAAAACTAAAATTTGCAACTGTAAAGGATAACAATGTTTTAACATTAAAACGTTGGCTTGCATGCCGTAATTTAAAAGCAACTGGAAAAAAAGTGAATTAATAGACAGGTTAGTATACAGACTCTAGTGAAAGAGTAGCGGTAGATTCAAACTGTAATAAAAGAAATTTAAAATAATTATGAATTTCAGATTTATTTCCGAGTGAAATATGAATCAAATATAGATGGTAATGAAATAAATTTAATTAAATATAATAAATGAATATAATTTAATAAACTTGACAAATGTTTCTCTGGA